TTCCTTGCGCGCCATGAACCTGTTTTTTTCGACCACAAGTTGAAGCTTGTTGTCATTGTTTTTCCAACCTTCCAACCCGAGACAATTCAAAAAAGAAAGAAAGCAATAATGGCTTCTTTTTTTATATTATTTTAATCATGGTGGCCTTCTCTTGGCAATATAGAATAAACATACAGCAAGAGTTCACTTCCCCAGTGGTGTTACAATGACATGGGTGGGAGCGCGTATCTTCAGTGTGTATTCCGTATCTATATATCCATTTATCTATCCGCTGTCAGACCCTCCCCAGGGCCCAGGCAAGGCAGAAAGAACGTTGTTGCCGCCCATGTAGCTTCGTACGCATCATCATGATCGTATATGCGACCCAATCCCCGGGACCCGGGTATCACGACCTATGCTTTTTATCTTTGGAGCTTGTTTAACTGTTTACTGCTTTTCTTTTTTCTCACCCTCTCTTTCCCTTGTCATTGCTTTTTTTGTGCCCCGTCGCTTAGAAAAGAGTTCGCAGCGCGAGAGAGGTACGATCAGAGCCTATTTGGTGGAGCAGAGCCTGGTTTTTGATTTGCTTTTTCTACTCTTTTGTTTTTTTAATATTTCTTTCATCTGGGTTGTTCCTCGCATCGGCATCAAACCCTGAAATGAGATATGCCCGCATACAAGTGACCTTCTGCACATTACATCTACATAGTACATGAACGCCTCTTTCTTAACCCCAGCTTTGAGGTCTCTCTTTTCCCACCCTTGTCCCTCCCCTACCCCTTCTCGAATAAGTAAAAATAAAGTGGGAACACCAGAGGAAAAACGAACAAAACGTTTCTTTGGGCTGCTGCGAGACTAATGCACGATTGAGAATAAGGGGCTGCATATTAGTTCCCAGCTACCGCGTCGTCGGGTCGGCGTCTTTCTGCTTTGGTATGGGACAGAGGGAGCTAAAAACCATCAGAGGAGAAGCACTAAAACATAGGGTAAAGCTGGTTTGGTTATGGCAGCAAGGAGATGGGAAGGCAAAGGGCAAAAGGGGAGGAAAAGCTTCCTTGGAGGGGCAAAAGGGTCGACAAAAAGGGGATCTTCTTCTGTCTCTAGCTTCGGCCCGGGTCCTCACAAGCTCTAACACAGTAGTAGGTCTTGTTGGTACTCTCCCTGTGAAGTGCCTGGGCTTGGCTTCCACCTTTTCCCGCCTCTCTTCTGTCTCCCTCTCTCCTCTGCTGCTCCTGCTCCTCTTGACCTCGAAACCTCGTACTCTCTAACATTTCATCAATTAAACCCGCTGAAACGGGCATGGCGCGTTGACCTCCCCCGGAGAATCTCATCTCCATGGACTCGGCCGCGGCTCGTTTCATTCCCTTTTCTCCCTCCAGAGTAATGAGAAAAATGTTAAAACGCCCCTGCCTGCACCACATCCAACGATGGGGCCAGGTTAGTGGTTGGTCTGGTCTCTCTTTTTTAGCCTCTCAGGGCCGTCGAATCCGGCTGGTCATGACCAAACGACGCGGCCTCTTGATTCCGCAATGAAATGGTCGGACAAGGGAGGGAGAAGAAAAATAAAATAAACCAACACCCACCCCTCCCCCATGGGAAAAAAAAAAACATTACTCATGCTTCTGGCCTCAATTTCGCCCAAACTCACCTGACCTGCCACTACCTACTTTTCTCGTAATGGAGGTGGTATGTGTGTCTATCTAGAAGGGTAAAAAGAAGAAAAAGAACAAACGCAGCTGCCCTCCATCACGACTGATGAAGTTCAAATGGTGTTTCCCAAACACTATCCTTGACTCTTGGCTTGCTGAATCGACTTTGTTTTTTACTTTTTAATTCTTTCTTTTCCTGCTGGCTACTCCTCCCCCTCTAGATCATGCTGTCACTCTACAGGTTCATGCAGATGCAAAGCAAAAAACAGCAGACGATGAACTCATCATCACAACAAAAAAAAAAAAAAAAAAATACCACTGTAAATTGCAAGGGGGCCAGATTTCTCCAAAATGTACCTCTCTTTCGGATCACTTCCCCCGATTTCCACTCTCCTGCATATGGGCTCGGGTACCTGCCGCTGGACCCATAGTATGACGAACTGAAAAGAGTTACGCCAGCTTTTGCTGCACGCAAAAGAAACCAAAACATTTTTATTTCATTATTCTTTTTATTCCCATTTAATTCAAGACCCGTGACCCTGGAAATTTCTGGGGCCCTAATATTCGGAATGCCTTCCAGCATTTGGAAGTCATATACTAGTATCACTTTCTTTCTTTTTTCTCTTCTCTTCCCTTTCTTGGGTTTATCTTTTTCCTGGGCTTATTGCTGCAGCAACCTATCTTTCATACCTCGAATGTGCTCATGCAGTGCTCCATCTCTTCCGCGACATCCAGCCCGAATGCCTAGATACACTATGCGTATTCGGTTGTAAAGGATGCACACACACACACACGCAAGAATCGAGATGACCCACGCTAGTCGACTCACGTACCCTGTACTTCCACACCACCTTGGAGAGAACAAATTCCGGGGGATCGGCTATTGAGCAAATGCTTGAGCCCATTCCCCCAACTTCTTTCATTAATATCCTTGACCTTTGATGAGGTTGACGAGGCTGCATTTCCTTACGAGGCACATTCCATGTCGGGCTTGTCATTTCAGTATTCCGATACCCCAACACGAGGTTTGCGAGCTAGACTGACTCATGGTCAGTAATACCTTGGTCAATGATCTACCTAGGTAGGCAGGTAAGTATACACTAGGAGGCAGATACTTGTGTGTAGTAGCGACGGTGATCATCTTTTGAGTTCATGTCAGCCTTCCTTTCAAAGCTCTCCCACGGTCCCCCCCACGCACGCATCAGAGGGCTTATCATTTTGGCCTTGGGTGAATCCGGCTGTCGTCAAGAATCTTACTAGAACGTCATCAGCCTCGTGGAAATTAAAATAAACCCATCCATATAATCCCAGCCTCCCAGGTGACAGGGGTTTATAGCAGAGCGCCCAGAGTGAAAGCCGCCTGCCTGGGCTCACTGGCAGCCATCTCACGATAGCACCACAAAATCGTGTAATATGTCAGTCGTGGTTCCGGACTGGTGGTTATGCGGAACCAACGGATCAGGATTTCCTCGGGGCAATAGGAAACCTGCGGCCAGCGGCGGGCTTCGCAAAACGCTCTGCTCACTACTTTCTCTCTTGTGAAACCCATCTGATGCGCTCCTCCCTTTCTCCTACAGTCCACGCCACGCACACACATACACACGCCACACAACACACCACACCACCATACACAGTCACGTGTATACAGGGTCGTGAGTGATATGAATGGGATTCGTTCTCTACACTCTAGTTGTGCAAAAACGGATGGAATCCCGAAATCCTGGATATTCTCCGCTGCGCTGCCCACGGGCGGCGCAGGGCTTTTTTTTTTTTTTTTTTTTGGGCTATGGTGGTGATACAATATCTTACCCCGACTTTTTTGCTTACTGCTATTCTTAGGACGTAGTACTGCAAAACAAGAGGGGATCCCACCCTTCCCCTCTACAAAGAAAAGCCACGTGGTTCTCCGTGGGATCAATGTTGGGAGACCTGCAATGCTTCTTCGGATCCTCCGTCGATAAAATGTGCCTCACATTTGCATGAAAGTGACATGTGGTGGGAAGGAACTTTCTTTGTGGACTGTGGAATCAAAATCTCTAGAGGCTTGAAAAGTCCCTTTTGCGTAGCCTGTTCAGCGCTGTAATGTGGACAAGTTCTGATTGTCACAAGTTGAATATTTAATAGGACTTTTTTTTTTTTTAACACACTCCGTAAGCCATCATTGCGACTATGACGGGCTTCTTGTCGTTGTGTCTTGGGAATTTCATCAAGTCCTGCGCAATATCCGATTCCATGCACCTTGCCGCGCGGGTTCCCACGCAGTATCTGGGGTTCAGAAGATTGTGCGGCTCCCAGCGTTCGGGAAAAGAGATGGAAATGTGATAATTGATATATGATATAATATAACATGTAACTTTTTTTTATGCGCCAAATCTCACACCTAACCCAGCCTGGCGGAATGGCAATGGCTGGCAAGGCTGAAGTTGAAGGGTGGGAAAAAGTTCCTTGCATGTCTCAGATCCTTTGGCGCAGGGAAAATAAACAGCGAGACATTTCATTCCTCACTAGATGGGAAACCCCCTGGTCATGTCTCAGCTTTCGACTAATCGGAAAATCCCATGTCTGAAAAAAAGCCGTTATTATACTTGGAAGTGGTGGATTGGACGTTTGTTGATGGACCATGGAAGTGGCGACGTCATTCTCACTGGCACGGACATGCCACATTTCTCTTCTTTGCCAGCCAAGGGGTAGGTATTGCAGAGATATTTCTGCCAATTCGGGTCAGTGACTTTCTAGTTCCTCGGGAAGTTGAGGGAAAAAAGAATGTCGGCTGCTTACTCCTTGTAAAATACAGCAGGACAGATCACGACTAGGCAACAGTCTTACATCTTTCAACCCATAAGCACGGACAATCCCAGCACTTCGGACCCGGGGCGACTCATGGTGGCATTTCCTCATTCTTGATATTCAAATGGCCATGTCCCGAAAGCGCCAAACAGGATCTAGGGACCTTTTTTTTTTTTTTCGAGAAAGAATCGACATGGATGGCGTGCCCAAAAGTCCAAGCCTCGGTTGTGGAGGCTGATCTAGTGACGACGCCCTTGCAATAAATCCGGCGCCCATGGCTCAGTAAACAGATTTGCGGCATAGGGGCTTTGATCTTGAGTAAATCAAACAGACAATAAAGTAGTATACATGAGACACAGGTCGATTGGCATCAAGCCCTGTATAACTACCTGGTCAGGCTAGAGAGACAAATATCTTGATCGCTTATATTTAGACCGTCTAAATGGAGCCTTTTAATGTATACTCGTCACACCTGGCTCAAATCTCGGAATATACATCCCTGGCTGCTGGGTCAGTATGATTACTTTCACTTGTATTGACAACCATTCAAGTAATTCAAATCAAAGAGGGTGGGGGATTCAACACTCACGTCCGTCGTATAAGCGGCATCTTTTCCCGCACCGAAGCCAGCTGTTCCAGATCAATATCCACCAAGCCCAGCTGACCGACGGCGCCGTCCTCGGCCTCCCAGTCTTGCTCAGCCTCGCCCACGACGCCCCCGAGCTCGACGGCGACCTTGCCCCAGGGATCCACGACCAGGCTGCGCCCGTAGCTGACGCGCTTGCCGCCGGGGCCGTGGTGCCGCCCGACCTGCGCCGCCGCCACCACCCAGCTCTGGGTCTCGATGGCGCGGGCGCGGAGGAGCACCTCCCAGTGCGCTCGTCCCGTGGGCACCGTAAAGGCCGATGGGTACGTCAGGATCTGCGCCGGGGCATGTGCGAACCCGGACCGGGGACCCGGCTTGGCGAGGCGGAGGGCCGCCTCTGGAAATCGCATGTCGAAGCAAATGAGGGATCCGACGCGGCCTAGAGCCGACGGGAACGGCGGGGTGAATGACGACCCGGCTTGTGTCGAGTTGGACTCGCGCAGCGAGGCATAGTCAAAGAGGTGGAGTTTGTCATAGTTGGCCTTTTCATTAATTTGTCCGTCTTCGCCAATCCAAATGGTGCGGTTATAGAGTTTTGTAGTTGCTGTTTCCTCTGACGAGGAGCTTTCTTGAGGTGCCGATGTGAGCACCGGGTTGACGGCAGACGACCCCAGCGCCTTGACCGCCACGGGCACGTGGATGCCGACGTGGATGGCGATGGAGTGTTGGGCCGCGGCGGACTGCAGACCCGTCACAAACGGTGAGGTTGCTACCGGTCTAGCGAGCGAGAGGGACTCGGCCGCTGAAGTACCAATGTAATCCGATGCCTCGGGGAGAAAGAGAACCTGACGTGAGCGTCAGATTTCATTCTCGAGACTGCAAATGTTTGTACTCGAGCGCTTCGGGAGACGTCGCCCCGGGAGAGTACAGTCGCTGTCCACTTGAACACCCTCGAACTCCTGACTCCGCATCGGTACCAGAGCCATTCGGCTCAAGTCAACATGTATTGCTCTGCTTTCAAGAGCCGCAGCGATACAATTTCCATCACACGACCCAAAACAGCAGACAATCATACCTTTGCACCTGCAGCCGCCGCCTTGGAGACGAGTTTGACGCACTGCTCCAGGTTGAGCGTCATTGACGCCGAGGAGCAAATCTGCCCCACTGCCTGTAGGGATACTAATCAGCAAATATTTACCATTGAGATAAACTGCAAAGCATCTGGGAGTTAGTTACCGCAATTGCCATGTTCTCGACCAATGTAGCGCTTCCAACGTGAGTTGTATGGTTCAGAGATGAAAAGTAAACAAAGACAATCTCGAATCTGGATCGCAATGAGGGGTCCGTCTTGCTCCGTTGTGGGGCCGATGACCGGCAGATGCTTCACAGAGAGCCGACGGAGCCGATCCGCGGATCAAGAGATAAGGTGATTGCATTATACTACCGAGGCAATGTATAAATCTCGATGTGTCCTTGAATGTAATGCTATTGTCTAGTGGTTGGGCGTGAAGGCAATGTCTCAATTCTACTGCTATCACGAACCACGGAAGCCAGCAAAGTCATGTAGCGAACTTGTTTCTGGGCCGGAAGTATTAATCAAATTGCAACGCTGTGCTATCTAATCTGCTATGTATGTATACAAGAAGCCAAAGAGGAAGAAAATCCAATGAGAGTAGATTGCCCTTGCTAAGAATGGTTCGCTGAAAATCATGATGGTTCTTTCGCTTGGTACGGATATCTCCCAGCTTGGCAAGCTTTCCCAACCATGACACTCATGACTGTCATCAACTTCATCATCTCTGCCTCAAATACTTGCAGTGACACGTTGTCCATACCTGTGAGCGCCTCCATCTCGACCTTGCTCATGGCGTTCATTTGCAAGAGGGTGAACTCTTCCTTGAGGGCCGCGTGCGAGCGCGGGCTCAGATTGAACAAGATATTTCGGTGCCAGTCTTTCCACTTCATAGTCCAGATTGATGCAATCCTCTCTCTCTCAACGCGGCAATCTGGGCATAACATTTGCTCTGGATTCGGATTAAGGCGCCGTGTAGGTACTATTCCTTCTTCGAATTTGTGACAGAATTTTGCAGTCTTGAAGGCGAGATAGCAAGGTGCAACTTGGAGTGGTGTGCCATCATCATCGGCATGGCCGCATTCCGTAAATACATGACGGCGCCGTTTACACATCTGGTCTTGAGAGTTGGTGGAACCTTGGAATGGTGCACAGTTACAAGGGGGTTCGCCTAGTAGAAATAAGGAGCTGCGGAAACAGCGAGCGGTTGTATACGTGTCCGTGAGATGATAGTAGGGGGATTTGATAGCTGTGCTTGTAACGTTTATTCGTTTGTTCGTCCTGGTGGGCTGATTTGATTAGGTGCGGATTAGACAATGATAGAATAGAAATACGTTCACCAAAATAGTGTAAATTATGGCCAATGTGAAAGAACAGAGCTTGAAACCGATTTCATTTTGCGTGAGCAAAGAATTTGGTAGCTCGCCCACGCAAAAGGTGCTCGATGTATGATCATACGCCATTACCAACAGTCGTAATTTCCCTATCATCACCGCGGCGATGATGATCAGAAAAATGACGAAGCAACAGCGCCTAGTTTGTAAAGACAAGGTAGTTACCACCAAGAAACAGGACAAGGCTTGATGAAAATCTTCTTAGTGGATCATTCAAGGCGCATCTATAATCATCATTCATAAGTTTCCAACTACACAAAGTTCAACTCGAGCACTATTAAAGCTCTACTTCACTCCCTTCTCGCCGAGAAGCAGAAGGATAACACTTGAAAAGCTCTCCACCATGATCTGAGCCCACGCCCGAATGCACCTGCAAGATACGATTCGGGTCAAGCGAGTCCTTAATCTGCAGCAGCTGGGCATAGTTGTCTTTGGCCCAAAAAGCCCTGGCGGGTTCAGGTTCGAACAGGTCGGCCTCGTTGAAGTACGCACCACCCTGGGGGGTCAATCGCCTCACCGGATCCATGGCTCTGCTGACACCCCAAAACTCATCCTGAACTTCATCGGCCGTTGCCGACGTCGCATCCCACGCCGCCGTATACACGAGATGCCAGAGCGAGCGGCGCCACGCCGTTGTCACCGCGCTGTCCCCAATGTCCTGGACACCTCGCGACGGCGCCACCAAATGTATCGTTACCCCGAGCTGCGCCTGGGTCGCCGTATCGAGGATAGTATCGAGGAGCGCCGAGCGGTTGGCTTCCCTGGTAAAGCTACTTCGCGGGATCAGTCGAGATGCCCTTGCAAATCCAACGCTGCCGCTGGGACTGTCCCAACCGCGAACATGTCTTGCGTACAAGTCGTAGAAGGAAGGGTACGTCTCCAGGGATACTCTGCCGCCCATGTGGTTTGCAAGGTCAAGCAGGGGCCGGAGAGATACCTCGGCATCGCGGCTCGAGATGCGAGGGTTCAATAGTTGGACCGAGTAGATACCATCAGGACGAGGGCCGGCTGGTGATGCGCGGCCGCCCCAGCCGGCGTCGAACCAGACCTCGGCGTTCCGGGCCAGCACATCAAGCAGGCGGCGCTGGCCAGCGACACTCAGATCACGGAAAGCGACATAGGCCCACTGGAGCGCGGCAATGCGTGGTAAAGCACGCATTGACATCTCCGTCACTACGCCAAAGGTGCCACCCCCGCCTCCACGGAGAGCAAAGAATAAGTCTCTGTTTGTGCAGCTGTTGGCGACCGTGTAAGTGCCGTTTGGAAGTACGACACGAATTTGCCGGACGTTATCGACGCCGAGCCCATAGGCGGGCGACAGATTGCTGTACCCGCCACCAGCGATCCACCCTCCCGCTGGTGCCACTGTTCCTGACGATGCGCCTACAATGGTTACATTGTGTTGGTGGGCAAAGGTGTATATTTCGTCAAAGCTGTGGCCTGTGCCAAACGTGACTACATCGCCAGTTGATCCATCACAGCCCTCAGGCACGAATGACAGGTCTAGGGAAATCGCCGGCTTGTAGTTGTGCACCCAAAGGCTGATTGATCCGGGGCCAGCGCTACGGCCCTGATAGTCGTGGCCGCTGTTCTTGACGACAATTGGCACGGCGTGCTTGTTGGCAAAATTGAAAACGGTTCGTATGTCCCCGACTTGACGGACGTCGACGTAGTAGCTTGGTAAATTTGCCTGCGTACAAGCTTCACTAGAATCACTCAATGAAGATCTCAGTGACAATGAGCATCCTACTCTGGTGCTCTGGCAAATGTCCCAATTTCCCTGTGTTTCAAAGGGTATGATCAGTACAATCCAACCGTTGAGCATATAATCAAGCAGGGAGCAATTTACCTGGGCATATCCAGCGGGGGTTGTGCTGAGAAAGGTCATGTTACTGCGGTTGAGTATTGCCTCCATGCACGCAGCAATATCCGGTTGCCTCGGTCCGCCATTAAAGTTGTCATGGCACGGCAAGCCGACCGGCAAATTTGCAAACAGTCGGCCGCCGACAGACCTGTTCAGAGCTTTCCAGTCGGCAACCGACACACGATCAATGGGCGGTATGTCATTTCTTGGACCTGTCAAAGGAATCTGGTAGGTGGTGCAAACTCGGCCCTGGACGGCGAGGAGTATTGCAAGAAGAGTCGTCTTTAGTGAACACTGCATGGTTAATGCCCTTGTCTCTCCTACCAAGAATTGTGTTGCGCGGCAATAAAGAAATTGGTTCATGGTCCTCCGTCACAATATAAACGTTGAGCAGATTAGATGAATGACCACATTGAAAAAAATGTATTCGTGGTTGGGCCCCAGGAAAAGAGACCTGAAAGTTTCCGCCAGGCGTTGGTCGAATCCCTGTATTCATTGTTTATTGTCTCGGTGGAAAGCGGCAGAGTTGTGCCACTGCACAGATCATGGTGAGACTGTGGTATGCAACGAGGAAACAAAATCTCCAAAGCATGTCAAAGTACGGACACCTCCCCAATTGATATACTGCCGCTTTTGCATCAACAAATTCATTGCATGGCTGCAAAAAACTGTAAAATTTCGAGCCCAAAATGGCCTCAATCCGTTGGATATACTACGGTCTTGTATCAGCGCTATGTAGATGAGAAAAACCGACAAGGCAGTTCCTGTGTAAAGCGACAATGGGGGAAAAAAATATCATGCGTGGGGGGTATCACAGATTTGCCGATGATCCAGTCTAAACATAACACCATCTCATTCCTTTTTGTTCTTTTCAGCCCGATTTGCCTTTTTTGTTTTGCTGGACAAACAAATGAAATGGTTGCGACGAGGTTGACCTGATTTGGTGTTTGGTGGTCTCGCCCAAGTCGTTATAATAAGCTTTGGATCTTGATTCCTTGCTCTTCATCCCAGCCCCATACCAACCTCCTCTTCGGTGGGCAGCGGTGTGTGCGCCATCATTTCTCTGGCCTCGTCCAGCTCTCGCAAGTCGGCCACTGACATGCTCGCCATGCTGGCATCTTCGCCTTGTTTCAAAAGTGGACTGGGAGCTGGACTTGGCACAGCGCTCGCGCTCTCGGGCGTTACCAGGGCGGGTGCACTCATGGCCTTCTTGGACAGCCTGGCCTCTCTCAGTTCCTCTCGCTCAATCATGAGCTGCTTCTCAGCCTCGATGGCCTTTTGCCGCTTGGACTCGACGACTTCTCGCTTGACCTCCTTGCGCAGCCCCTCAGAAGCCTGAATCAGACCATCAATACTAATGGCATGATTAGTCATTTGTCGGTTTATATACGTGTATATTTCGCTCGGCGCAGTGCATGCTAGTAGTTGCCGCTCATTCAGCTTGAGAAGCGCCAAAGCAACCTGGAAAAGGAACGTGCTGCCGTCTCCCGTGCAAAGGATAACGTCCCACACCCGGAAAAGCGCTTCGGCACTGAGGCAATCAGTGAAGATGCTCAAAAACCATTGAAAGGTCAGGGTCTCGAGATCAATGCACATGTTGTCAAGATGTTGCGAGAGCTTTGGCAAAACTTGCGCAACGTATTGTCGCAGAACCTGCTGATCGGCCCGTGATGCAATAAGAGAATGGTCAAAGTAACCTTCTGGCAACATCTTCTCAATCATGCACACGAGGATCCAGAAAGCCTCCTCGGTAGATGGCATGATGAGGAGTAGATTCGCGGCAATGAGATTCATGCCTTGGCAGTATCCGACATTTGGATTGCGCCGTGCATAGGCCACCAGCAGTTCGTGCAGCTTCTGTACTCCTGGTCCGCGGAGGAAGAAGATATTGTCTCGCAAGGTGCGGTCAATGTCCCGGTCAATATCAGTGACCGTGGCAGGGTCGAGGCCTTCAGATCCCTGAGCTACAAGATCGTCATAGTATCCAGGCAAGCGCTTGGAGGTTGCGCCGCAGGCTTCCGACCAAATCTTGGGTCGGAGCGCTACGGGTATACCGCCGAGAACCAGAGTACGGAATTCTATCCACTTGTTTCGGCCTACTTTGCCCTTGACGCCGAGATCAGCGATACCAATCAGCTCACCATCTGCTAGTTTTGCTTCGGGGAGAATCAATGGTGCCTCTTGGTATCGTGCTTCTGCTGCGGCCATGGCGGCAGCTGCCGCCGCTTCTCCTTCCCGTCTGCGCTCGGCTCTGACTTTGCGCATGAATTCATTCCATTTAAACGTCTTTTCTCGTTGTAATGCATCATGGACGTCGTTGAGCTGGTCAAGAAGAAGCTTCACTGGCTCAATATCGTCCTGGGGTACGGCATTGCTGGCTGAGGCCTCTTCCGTTGATTTTGCTGATTCACTTGCAGCAGTCTCATCATTGACAGCTGCTGTAGTACTTGCGGGAGGGAGGAACCCACGCTCCTCGGACAAGATGAGGCCAGGTGGGTGATGGGACTCGTCTCCGCTCAGAACCTCGAGAGCCGAGGCAGTCATGGAAGGTGTATGAGAAAGCAGCTCGGTCGGAAAAGTCGCAATTTTGAGATAGTCTTGCCATCGTTTTGGTCGCTCAATAGCTTCATCCACGGAGAAAGGACTATCTGGCCTCTCAATATTTCCAGGAAGAGATCTGACTTCGTCCTCAATGAGACTTGGTGATATGGTCAACTTGCCCGTGAGCATTTCTGTACGGCTGCCTCTTTTCATTTGCAGTGCAACCTGAGCGGCTTCCTTCTGCCGCTTCCTCCTGCGCTGGTCAAATATGAAGCCAAATGAATCTGTCAGGAACTCGGAACCTGCGTGGTTGTTGTAGACATGGGTGAGGATCGGCGGCTGATTCTCTGGAGAGAAAATAGTGTCCATTTCCACAGGCCCAGAATTATCTGGACGTGATGCTACTGGGCTTGGGGGGCTTGCTCCAGCATTATCCCATCTCTCTAGTGGCGTACTTCTTGGGGGAAGATTCACCGGCGCTGGCGTCGCCCTCCGCATCGCCATGAGCGCCTTTGGACCAACTTGGCTAGACACAACTCGGCCAGAAGCGTTTGTCCTATCGCTAGTCGCAGATGAAGTTCGCAGCGAGCCGCCTCCTGGACCTGTCGAGTCTGACCTTCCTCTCACGGAGTCGCCGTCCCGACCGGTAGCTCTCCCAGCAACAAGTTGAAGTGCCATGCTGGCCAATGATGTAGACGGTTTTCTTTGAGTGTGGCCCGAATAGATGCTCGACGCTCTGCTAGAACTTCTTACGGATTCCGAGTCGGGTGGTTTAAATTGATCCTCTTGTATCATGGGCCGCCGATCGCCAGGAGTGGCAGCCTTGAGAGGGCCCTTTGAAATGTCACCATTGACACTGCTGGCCCTGCTATTCCTCTTGCTTGTCCCGGTACCCATGATCCAATCTCTCCACCCGCGCATAGTGCCTGTTGACCTCCCATCGTTTGGAACAGATATGGTATTTCCCCTGATCGTTGCATCATTGATGCCGTTGGTGCCGTACGTCACCGTGTCCTGCATGGCATCGTTCATCATCTCGGACAGCCCGCCCTTCTTGGACTGTTCTTGCGCCTTGAGGTCTGCTTCAACCTCTCGCAGTCTTCTTTCGAGGTCCAGGTTGGACAGGCCACATTCCAAAATGATTCGCCGGAGCGCGCGTTCTCGCTGGTCGGCCTTGCGCCGCATGTTTGCGATCTGCGCATCCCGCTGCGCCAGATCCTCGGCGACCTGGCGGATCAGGTTGGGCGCACCATGGCGGGTGATGAGGCGCTGGATGTGGTCATCGTCGGCAAGGTGCAGAGCGCCAGGTATTTTGGTTGTAGAGATGGGGGCATCCTCAAACAGGGCGTTGCGAGACGACCTGGGCGTCTCGGTGGTCAGGCTGTCCACTATAGAGTTGATAGACTGCGGGTTCGACTGCTTTCTGTCGGCAGCAGCGGGCGTCCTGCTCCTCGAGGGTTCGGCAAAGCTCTCGAAGAAGGGCCGGGCTTCGCGAGGCGAGTCGGGCGAGAAGGACGGGAAGGAAGTCAGTGACTTGTCGGAGGCAGCAATGGAGGAGGCCGAGCTCGAGGGCTGGGAGGTCAACTTTGCTCTCTGGCGTGATCGTGTGCGCAGGGTATGCCCTCTCCCGCCGGCTGACGCAGCAGACAGTTGTGAAGTGGACCGCTCGAGCGGCGTCACAGAAGAAGACGAAGAGGTCTCGGGCTCCATGTCGTCGTCGTCGTCGTCGTCGTCGTCGTATAACTGCAGTGCTGAACCATCGCTCTTCCTCTCGAAGCCTAAAGGAGATGCACTCTCGAGGGTGGAAGAGGGGGAAAGAGAATGGCGTAAGTTTGCTACGGCATAATAAATTTGGACAGAAAAACTGGTGCTTCTTTCATTTGGGGGAGAGGGAAGGGGAAAAAAAAAAACAAGAGAGAAAGTGGTGATGCACGAGATGGAGAGTGGGACGGACGCCCGTGATGCGCCCAGCCTAGACACAACCTAGAATGGTGGAGAGTGCCACGTTGGTACGCCCGTGCAGGGAAGGGCTTGTTTCGAGTCTTCGTTTCTGTTCTGGAATTTTGCTGGCCAAGACGTCAAGGTACGTACTAGAACTAGAGACCATCACCACTTTGACGTACTGCTGCTATTGCGTACGTGCCATTTTTGATTTGCTTCATTTATAATTATTATTGCACCTGTTGTCAACCGGTTGGTTCACAAACACAAAAATAACAATAATACTCCTTCCTAGCTTTACACATTTTTAGATTTATACTTGGAATTAGATTGGAATTACAAACAGTGACGCCACCAATAGTCAATCATGACAATGGCTATTCTCCTTGCGTCCATGTGACATTTCGATATGAACAGAAATATCGAACCCCATCCCTCGCCGGTCATCTCTTTGCCCCCAAAAGTGACAACCGCTTGTCCCTAGATGCCAGCGCCAAATGTCAAAAACGTCAAAACCCCAGTCCGTCAATCAGTAGTCGCGAGCCCCAAAACGCGCCGTTCTCAAGATCGGGAGGCTTGCAAAATCGACTTGACCCATTGTTTTGGGACCCAGGCCTGTCAGGCCCTTTTTTAGTGCCGCCCCATCTTGCGCCTTTCTCCCCCGAGCCCCCCTCCTCGTTCGCCTCCTCCCCTCAACCCCCTGTTTTATTTACCTACGTAGTACACAGTAGAAGTAGTATGTACGATCGTGGTCTAGATACACTACTACTACTACATAGTACTTTGTTCATCATCACCTGCGTATCCCAAGATCGTCTTGTTGATTACCCATTCTTGTATGGTCCAGTTCAAAGGTTCCCTCCCTGCTTGCCTACAAACAACCTAATCCAGCTACTAGCAAGGGGACAAAAATTTCAGGGTCCAGAAGTTGTTTGTTTACAGCTCAAATATACAGACCAATCACCTCAAATGAAAAAAAAAAAAAAAAAAAAAAAAAAAGAACTTCTGACTTCTATCGGCTTGAGCTCTGGTGCTACCAAATTATCATCAATTAATGCTATCCCGTGCACATTGTGTAATTTCTCTGCCATAAAGTCATACAGCCTTGGAGCACATAAGCATCAGCCCTTTTGCACTCTTTGCCGAGCACCAACTATCTCATATCCTATGGATCAAGTGTCAATGACTTCTATTACACACAAAACGGTAGAAACTCCTTCTTTGATGCAGTAGACAATTTTCTTTTATAACTCCGTAATTTATCGCTATTTGGTTGCTACGCATACTATTCAGATTCATGTCAACCGCCATTGGCAATGCGCTGCAGATAGTTGGATACTTCGTCCAACGAGTGAAGAACGACTACATCCAAACTGTTTGTGTATGTACTTTTTGAGATGACCAACCTCTCAACCAAAGTGACAACATGTGCACATCATCCACACCCTTACCAAAACGATCGCAATTGTCCAGTTTGCTCATCTTTTCCACCGCCTTCTCATTCGTCGCTGAAAACAAGAGAGTGTCATAGTCCTGCCCCCCAATGAAAAGACAGTCGATGACAGGACGACGTGCTTGTCCCTAAAGAAGATTGTAGGAGAATCAGCTAAGTCGCCATGTACTCAACAATATGGTTATTGTGTTGATGTCGGCCAGTGCGCCAAACCTCGCGACACATTACGACTCGGTGGCTATAAAAAACTCTGCCTTCATAGTGGACTGGACCGCTGTACTCAACGGCACCAAGATACACAACTGGGATCGCATACTCGACTTCGCCATCGTCTCGGGTTGGTCCATACTGCTCAACCTCAGCGTGACCGCGGTAAATGACGGGATAACGATGTGTGACTTCACCGTCATATCTGACTGGCCTCGGGTCACCGCTTATTTCATGGTATGTAACACTCCCCGTATAGTACACCGGGCCATGGTATGTGACCGAGCCATTGTATCTGGCCCAGTTATGATTTAGTACAAAGTCTTCGTCAATGTCATGGGGCACCAATGATGTGTGTCCATTTTGTCCATGGTGTTTATCGTGTCCATCATTTCCATTTTGTTTATCGTTTCCTTTTTGCTCATCATGCACATCTTTTCCATTGTGCACGTCCTGTCCGTCCTGTACGTCTTGTCCGTCTTGTCCATATTGTTTATCGTTTCCAGGTTGTCCATTATGCACATCTTGTCCGTCCTGCACATCTTGTCCATTATTACCATTAGGGCCATCCTATAAGCCTTGATGGCTGAAGTTGTCCTGAGCAGGTGCATTGATCGTGTCAGAAGCATGATCAGGGTCAGGTCTCTGAGTAGATGCCTTGACTGGATCAGAAGCATGATCAGGGTCAGGTCTCTGAGTAGATGCCTTGACTGGATCAGAAGCTTCAACATGGCCAGGTTTCTGGGGTGGGCGGACAGACCCTTTACGTTTTCCCCACTCGGATCGGCCATCAACAACAAGCGGAGCCCTCTGCTTCACAGGAGAAACGTGCACCTGGGGATCTTGTGGCGGTTTAGGTGTCTTTGGCGGTTTAGGTGTCTTGTGAGCCCGTTGGCGGCGTTTCGGCTCAATTCGTTGTTCGCAAGGGCGATCCTGAGCTTGGTGTTGAGAAGCATCCTGTTGAACCTGGTGTGGGTTCAATATATGTTGAGGATGATGTATATTTTGTGGGTGACGCATTCCTTGTTGGTGAGGAGGCATCATTTGCGGGTTATGTATCTCTTGCGGGCGTGGAGGCATCTGATGCGGGTAATACGTTTCTGGCGAGTGAGGAGGCATCGTTTGCGGGTAATACGTCTCTGGCGAGTGAGGAGGCATCGTTTGCGGGTAACGCATCTCTTGCTGGGAACGGATCTTTTGCTGGTAACGGATCTCTGGTTGGAGACGCATCTCTAGTTGGCGACATATCTCTTCTTGGCGACGCATCTCTTGTAGGAAACTCATCTCTTCTTGGAGACACATTCCTTGCGGATAAGAAGGCATCACCTGCGGGCGAGGTGTTTCCTGTGGACGAGGAGGCATCGCTTGCGGGTGAGGTGGCATCATTTGCGGGTTATGTATCTCTTGCGGGCGGGGAGGCATCATTGGCGGGTGAGGAGGTGGCATCGCTTGCGGGTGAGGTGGCATCCCTTGCGGGTGAGGAGGTGGCATCATTTGCGGGTGAGGCATCTCTTGCTGGTAACGCATATTTCGCTGGTAAAGCATCTGTCGTTGGTGGCTTATCT